AGAGAGAGAGATTGTCCTTATCCCACATACTCTAACTGGAAATATCAGGGCTCCACGTGAAAGGAACACTAAGAATTTTGAAAGAGACTTGTTTTGATAAGGCCATCTATATTCATCTACATCATCACTCAAAGAAAGTCAAGAAAAAGCCAGGTGTGGTGGCACACACTTTTAATCTCATCACTTGAGAGGCAGAGGCAGGTGGATTTCTGTGAGTTCAAGACCAGCCTGATCTACATAGTGAGTTCCAGGCCAGCTGGAGATACAGGGAGACCATTTCAAAAACACCAAAAAAAGAGAAAAGTCAAGAAAAATTATTTTTTTCAAAATCAAGCAAGTATTCTAATTTTAACTAACACAATACAGAATAACAGTCTTTACTCTTGATTTGCTATAGTTCAAGCATATATTATGAAGTTTCCATAAAGAAAACAAAAGCTGTTTTATGGATTCTGAGAAAGTGGGTTCCCAATTCAGACTACCCTATGTGACTTTTGTCATTATCATCTTTTCTGATTTCTACAAAGTAAACCTAATTAAGAATCTCCCTCATTAGTCTTCCACAAAAATTAGCACAGCTTATGCTAATTACTCCTGCAAAATTTAATAAACTAGTTGAAATGGGAATAGTCTAATGAGGTTTTATTTATTGAACTAAGATAACTCCAAAGAAAAAGGTTAGGACACTAGGATCTCCACTGCAGTAATAAAACTACAATGTATTCAATTTCTAAACAGGAATTTTATTTTGAACCTTTTAAATTCAAACAGGAATTAGTGGATATGTTAAATCAATCTCTCTACCATAATTCAATAACTGGAAGTCTTATTTTTGCTTTTTACTTTAACAATAATTACCACACATAGCCCTTTATCTCAAAGATAATGAAATTTGCTGTTATTAGTTCCTGGTCATCAGCTATTAAACATAACACATTTGACTTTTCCCATGTCTTTATAGCCCAAATATCTGGATCATTGGGCACTGGCTGAGTTTTATGATTCTTAATCAAGCTACTTGGCATCAAGCAGAAATGTAACCTAGCAGTCAACTCCAGATGTACACTTCCTACACTGCAATTTTCCAATAAACATTCTGACAAATTGTCATGACTGAAGAAAATAACTCAGGTCACATTTTCTTACTTTGTTGCATGCCACTGGAAGCAAGTAGACCCTTGTTTTGCTAAGGCACATTATGAAATGGCGTATTTTGTCAAATCCTTTTTTTTTTTTCTGAAAATTTGCCAAGCTGAGATTCCCCAAATTACTGGCAACCAATCATGTAGCCAAAATTTAACACGAAAATATCCCTGCACCACTGCTTATGACCAGAAAGCCTCTTCCATCTACCCTATAAATAGTTTTCCTGAATAACCACTGCTGAAAGTCTTCTGACTGATAAAAATAGCGGTGTTCTTCCAAATTCCGAAGGACAGGCAAAAGGAACTAAACATTATCAGTGCTCAAAAAAAAAGTAACTGCACATTAAAACTATGCTAAGTTCTAAGGGAACAACACTCTGCGTCCTAGCATTATCGTTAAATGCAGTATGCCTATTATGAAAACAGTGACTGTTTCTACTTGAATGCAGGCTGCAGAGCCTGCTCTGACGAAATATTCAGGGACTCACGTCCATAAATCTGAAAGCAAATCAAACCCTAAGCATGTAACAGATATTATGCAATCGGTAATATGAAATGAAATTGGAAACTGAAATACAAACACCGTTGCCATCATTTTTCCTCCTTTGTAGCAATTTTGTGGAACTGAAAAATATTTTCTATTTTGCCCTTTCTTGTATAAGTTCTTGTGATTTTTATCCCTCACTATTAGAAATGGAAGTTTCACATATCAGCACAGACAAGACTGGAAAGGCAAATAAATTCTGAAAACTCACATGCAAACAAAAACAGCTAAGTGGAGGCTTTGTCTATCAACCAGTTTCACTGCATGAAAACATAGTTCATGCCCGACAGCGGCAAGAGCCAGCAAATAAATGCACACTGGGACTTGTGAACATACAGGATGTCTCAGCCATTTTGAAAGTAACCCTACCTTAAAGAAATCAAAATTAGCTATACAGAGTTTTCCACTTTTCCCCACCAAAAAGGGGAAAAATTTTTTAAAGGCTAAATGTCATGAATAGTATCTCTAAAGTCACCAACAGCACGAAGTGCATACTTATTTTGCCTAAATTGTTTGAACTATAGCAGTCAAGGAACAGTTTTAAGTACCCTACTGGGACAGATGCAAGGCGGTAACAATAGAGGCCGCCTAATGCAATCCAGGTAACACAATCCTGTTTCAAAAACACAGGCCGGGCTAATTACAGCGCTGCTGAGTCAAGTTTCTTCTGCCATTGCAACCCACAGGAACAGGTCAAAATCAAATGTTATTCAAACCACAGTCATATCAGCCTTCTGTATCAGAGTCACAGCTTAAAACCAAACGAAGAACTTTAAAGCTTAATGCAGTCACAAGTCTAAAAGGGGGGGGGTCATTTTCTTTGTGGTGGCAAGGTAAAGTTCTTATCAACATTTAAACAAATCAAAAAAAAAGCCATGAGGCATGACAGAATGCTTACAGTTTCAAAATTTTCAGGCTATTTGACTGATTCTTGAGCAGAATGCTTTCCTCTTAATACAAGAGTTAAAAAAAAAAAAAAACCAGGAGGCATGAAAGAAAGTTTACAGTTTTAAAATTTTTAGGCTATTTGGCTTATTTTTGAGGAAAATTCTTTTCCCTTAAAAAAAAAGTTAAAAAAAAAAAAAAAAAAAAAAACTTGCTTAAAATTAGAAGGGTGTGCTCCAAAGAGGTAGATTTAAAAAACTAACAGGAGAAAAGTTGTACTTATCTTTGACCCTATTCATTTGGAGATTTCTATCTTCCATGGCAGGAAAAGCAATTGTATGATTGACGTGTCTGCTCTCGGTCTTCCCAGTCAACAGACAACACACAACGTCACTGCATGTCAAACTTTCACCTCCTTTAGCTTTGAAGCAAGTACATTATTACTCAAGTATATTTTTAGTGACTGTTAGCAGGAGATATTTAATTGGAATATCCAAGCCAAAAAAAAAAAAAACCTTATAAAGATACTTGATAACCAATATTGAGATAAAATATGAAGAATCACATCGGTCAAAAATCAATCTTTTTTTACAAACACTAAGATGAAGCAAATTAAATAGCTTAGTTTCTTTAGCGGAAAACATGATAAGAAATGTGAAAAATCTGAAAGACGGATTTTTTGTTGTTATTGCTTCTGTGTGTTTGTTTTCAAATGTCAATACTACTAAACTCAAATCAGATTTTTGTTCGGTTCTTGATTTCTTCAGTGAACAAATCTGCCTTATCTGCAGGACTCTTTTTCTTGGAGTTAGAAGATGCTAGCTCCTGTCCAGGCTGACAATTGACTGTCTCTATAAAGCTTCCAGACCATTTAACTCTCAATGAGTAATGCTATGTAATAAATGGTTTATCAGACATGTTTCCATACAATGAATTTCAATAATTAAAATGTAAAATGAATATTTGGAATGCGACTCTGCATAATGTGTGCACACTGACTCAAAATTGCACTGAAGAACTAAAACAGATTTATTATTCCACAATGATTTACTTGGTCATGTCAGATTAGTAATATGGATCTGTTTAAAAACACAATAATTAAGACAAGCAGGATAAATTAATCAACTTACAATACAGTATGAGCTGCAATCAAACCTAGGAAACAACAGTAGAAAACCTTGGTTCACAGATCTCTTTAAACTGCTTTTATGCATAAATAAAACCTTAAAATGTAGATGGATTACGTCCAACAGAACTACTGTAGCTAAAAGTGATAATGATTCAAACATTTTTCAAATAAAAGTTAAATATTTATAAGCACCCAACCACATTTCATAAATCACAAACTATTATTATTTTATTTCTGAAGCTTCCTGGCACAGCATGAGGATTGAGCCACAGAAAGACAGGAATGAAAAAAAAAAAAAAAAAAAGAAAAAAAAAGACCTAAGGAGCCAGAGGCTTCTTCCAAGCCTATGTGACCCCTGAGGACCAGATCCTTACCTGACCTTGAAAAAAGAAAGAAACTGGTTAAGGTGGGCTATTTCTTTATGAGCATGAATCAGACACAAAACCAGAGCTATCCAAGAAGCAGACCTCCAAAGAGCATTCCATATGGTTTTCCCGGGAATCACAATTGCTCGGCGCAGTGTAAGTCAAGACCAACAGGCAAATTTCAGCCACATGCATTCCCAACCCTCGACCGTGAGCGACACAAGGCAGGTGTTTCATTATGAGGAGTACGAATCCAGTGAAAGAAGAGTGGTCCCTACCTGTCAATTATCACTGGATCGGAGGGGGTCTCATTTCGGTTGCCACAGCTTTTCTTGTCACAACAGCGGCTATGGAGCAAAAAGCAAGAGGATTTAGTATAACCATTACAATGTAAAATCGTCATTTACGCAGACAGAAGGTTCAAATTGCTGGGTTGCAAATGCTAGAATTACCACAAAGCCATACCTGGCAATCAACGGGTCCTGGGGACAGAAAATTCTATTTGGGTCACTTATGGGTTAATGGCCAGGCTTAACCTCTCCCTGCTCAGAGGACGAAGGAGTCTCGAGAGGGGCTCTCCCAGAGCCAGCATTGCAGCCCTAAGATGGGGTCTCTCCTTCACGGCCCGGGTGTTGGCAGAGTTCAACATGAAGCACAGTGTTATTACATCTACCCAATGAGAACAGTCAGGGTCGTGGGTGGCTCAAACGTTCTTCCCTCAAGATCACACTAATTGTGTGGAACGCGTCAATAAGAAGCATGAGCAATTTCTCCCCCTCCAGTCAGCTCTGTTAAATGGATTTTTTTTTTTTACTTCTTTCTCTTTGATGGGTGGCATTCCCTTCAACCACAGCCTTCTCAAAAATCCCAAAGCAGTAACTATTTGCTTTGGAAACATCGCCATGAGAATACACAGTGATTAAGACAAGAAAAGGGTGAGATAGAAGAAAGACAAGAAAAAAAATCAAGAGAAGAAGTGCAGAGAGACATTCCTAATGCTCTGGCTTTGACGGCTGATGCTGGCCAGCTCTTCAGTTTTCTGGGACATTGTGGACAGCAGATCCAATGACTTTTCATTAGGCCACAGAACAAACAGCCACAGGCAAAGAAAGTACCCACTACTCAAATCCCACTTGGTTGTGACTTTGAGACTGTCATGTTTATAAAAACAAAAGGCTAAGATGATTCTAAAGGGTGAAAAGAATTCACTTTTTTTCTTTTTTTAAATTTATTATTTTTATTTTATGTGTATGCGTGTATTGCCAGCATGTAGGTAAGAGCACCTGTGTCATGAAATGCCCATGGAGGTCAGAAGAGGCTGTTGGATCCCCTGGGACTGGAGTTACAGACAGTTGTAGCTGTGCTGGGATTCGAACCCGGGTCTTCTGCAAGAACAACCAGCATTCTTAACCACTGAGCCATCTCTCCAGCCCCATCTTTTCTTTTTTTTTCCCCAAAGGTCTCATGTATCCAAGGCTAGCCTTAAGCTTGCTATGTAGCCAAAAATGACCTTGAACTTCTGATTCACCTGCCTACTCCTTCCTAGTACTGGATTATAGGTGCGTACCACCACACCCACTTTATGCCACACTGGGTCCTGGGGATTGAACTCAGGGCTTCCTGAATGCTAGACAGCACTTTACCCACTAAGGTATGTTCCCAAGCCAAAAATTCATGTCTTTGAAAAATATCTACTGTCAGCAGAAAACTATCCATCTGAAATGTGTTTATAAGTTACAAATGTGTCCCCTGGCTGGTCTCCACCCCTGGGTACACTGGAAGCACATATTTCATCAATGAAGAGGGTCGGGAGGTTATGCACCATACACTACAAGTAAAATATGTACTTTTCTCCTCTTTCATACCTGCTCATGCACACACGCATACACATGCACACACATACACATATGCACACACATGCCCACTCAAACATATGTACAACACACATATATACATATGCATACATATATGCACACGTGCACTTAACATGCATACACATATGCATGCATAAGCATGCATATACACACTCATACATATGCATATATACATGCATGCACACACATAACACACATACATGCACACAGCACTTGCACACATAAACACACATACACATGTACACACAACATGCACACATACATGTGCACACACACACACTCTCACACATACGCATACTCACATGCACGCACACATACATACATACATACATACACTAATACAGATGCACACAGACATACACACCCACATACACACACTCATACACATGCACACTCACACGCATACACACATACACTCACACACATACATACATACCTACATACACTCACACGCACATACACACACTCTCACACACATATACATACACATACTTTCACACACACATAGCATTACTTATGAATCATACAGCCTAATTAGAGCACTGCTGGAGAGAACTGAACATTGAATGTTTTTCAGTACTGAGAAACATAGCCCTACATAGGAAGTCTTTCACCAAAGATGAGAAGACTCTCTACCCACCAACACTGTGTCCCTGAGAGATGAATCTGCTTCCATACTTAGTGCGAGCTCCATCCGTGTCTTTTATCTTCAGAAAGCAATGGTAAGAACTGTATCTCCTTTGTCAAGGCCCCAGCTAAAAATTGCTCTGCCTACCTGACAAACCATTCCCTTTCTGATTGAGGGGAAACACTTTCCTCTGGGCCTAAGTCTGGCTATACTAGTACACTCCACTACAGGGTGTGACGTGCAAAGTATCCTGACACATGAGAAACCAATAAAGACACAGGAAGAAGGAATGCTAAGACTAGCATGTATGAAAAAAAAATTTTAAATCAACTCCAGCGAGATGGCTCAGCAGCTTTGTAAAGGCATTTGCCACCAAACCTGAAGACCCGAGTTTGATCCCTGGAACCCACATGGTGGAAGGAGAGAACTGGCTCTCTTGAGTTGTCTTCTGACCTCCACATAGGCACCATGACATGGATGCCTACACATATATACACATGTGCACACTCATGCACACAAAACAAATAAAATGTTAACCCTAGCTCCATCATCCCTCGGGGCTCCTCACCTCCACCTGCGTTCCCTCAGCTTGCAGGCCAGCAACTTAAAAACCGCTTACCTCCTCCAACAGCCTACTCCAAGTCTTTTAACAACCTGTGCTATACAGTCTCCAAAAGCAGCTGGCTGACACAGGTCAATCCTCCTTTACCCAAGGAGGAAAGAAGGTAGATGAGAAAGCCAGTTCCACCTTCATTTTTCCCTTTCAAAAACAAATACACCTCAAGTCCACCCACCACAGTCCTTCCTGGGTGAAATGCCCTCCAGAAGTCTTCCAGCTTTCTTGGGGCTACCTGTGGACAGAAGTCCACTCCACAAGCCTATCAATCCTCTCCCTCCCCACTGCCACTGTCTTCATCCGTGTCACTTCTGTTTATTTCTGGGACTACTGAAAAGCTACCCACCTGGTTTCATGATCTCTACCCTGACCCCCACCAATGGATCAGACTGCCCAGCAGATTATTTTCAAACTGCCCAGGTGCCACTTTACCATTCAAAACCTTTGAATGGCTTCCCACTGCACTTTAATAAATCATGGTATGGCATGATGCCAGGCCACCTCTCAACCTTCTGCCCTTTCTCTCAAGCTTGCCAAGCTCCAGCCTCACTGTCCAGTTCCATTTCTCCAATGTGGCATGGTCCATCAGACCTGAGGTCCAGGCCCAGTCAAGTCCCTGCTCACAGTTCCTACACTCTCCAGAGCCCAGTGTAGACCTCCTGACTCAGAGAGGCTCACATGGAGACCTCACCTTTAACCTAAATTAGACTCTCCCTAGGCTGTTTCTCTGTGGAGCCCTTCACACACTGAAGACCATACTGTTTGTTACCTGTGTACTGGGCTATTTCATTTGGACTCTTCCCCATTCCATCATCTTCCTTTCCCAATTCATATGCATCATGAAGGTAAAGACTGGCAAATTTACTTACCTAATATGAAACTTGGGATGGAATAGCAAAGCTCAAATATTAAATGATTTAAGGCATGAGTGATTGAATGAATGAATGAATGAATGAGCAACCTCATAACTAATATGACGAAATGACATATAAAGGAAGTCAAGCTAATCATCTGATAGCTGCTGTTAATGGAAGAAAGGTGTACTTTGACTTATTTATTTTCTGTGTATGAGTGTATGCTTGGATATAAGTGTGTGGGCATGCATGCCATGGTGCATATGCAGAGGTCAGAGGACAACTTGATTATAAAATGTCTCCCACAAACTCATATGTTGAGGCCTAAATCCCAAGCTAGTTGTACGATGTTGGGCATGTTCTGGAAACTTCAGGAGGTAGGGCCTAGCTGGAGAAAGTAGGTCTCTGGGGACGTGTTCCTAAGGGTTATATCTTGCCCTGAGGCCATCCCTGCTATCCCTGTTCCTCCCTCTTCCCCACCATAAGGTGAGTAGCTTTCCTCCACCAGGGCTTTCTGGCATGACACTCTGCCTCACCACAGGCACAGAAACACAGGCCAGAGTGACCATGAACAGAACTCTCAGAAACAAGCCAAAAGAAGCCCTTCCTCCCCTAAGTCATTTCCATCAGGTGTTGGGCACCTGACCTGATACAGACACATGCAGGCACACACACACACACACACACACACGTGTGTGTGTGTGTGTGTGTGTGCCTGGGAGTGCATATACATATTCATGGAATATATGGAATTCTGCGCAGCATTACAAAGACTGAAGGTGGGGTCTGATGCACTATCATGGAAAAACTCTCCATTGTGTTATGAGTGAAGAAAAACTAGTTATGAAATGGTAAAGTCATGGGCCCATTTCTGAGAGACAAATGACAGGGAAAGGAAGAGAGAAATTGTGGCAAGTGTGATTCACTCCTTCATTTCACTCAAATCTCTACAGCTGAAGAAAGCACCCCACTCTGACCCTGCTTCATAGCATCCTCTGTACAATACACATTTATTTATTGTCTAATTTTATTATCTCTCATGTTCAAATGTAAACCCCATATGTACAGAAACTTAGACTGACTGGTAGGATCCCTCCACAGCCCCAACAATGGGAACTGAATCTAGTGCTTGGATTTCAGGAGTCTTTTTAAATATTTTGTTTATTTAGTTTTTTATTTATTTTTTATTTTTTGGTCCTTTTGAGACAGGGTCTCCCTGTAGCCCCAGCTGGCCTGGAACTCACTTTGTAGACCAGGCTGGCCTTGAACTCACAGAGATCCACCTGCCTCTGCATCCCCAGTGCTGGGACTACAGGTGTGTGCCACGTTGCCCAGCCACTATTTTTATTTTATGTGTATGCGTGTATTGCCTCCA